GTTTTATTAGGTCTCTGTACCCTTCTGTCTCCACAATTCACCTACGGTTTGTGAAAAGAGCTAATAAATGCCCACCAGCAAGAATGTCACATTGCGAGTAAATTTTAAAATCCATTCACGAAAAACCACAACAAACTGACTATTCTTCAATAAAATAATGTATTCATACTTCACAAAGTAAGAAAAGTACATCACAACGGAAATGAAAAAAAATTTTAACAAATTAAAAAAAAAATTAATCTGTACAATGTCAATCAGTTGCCTTCTAAGATTGACTTAAAATCATAATAATGATAATTTCAAAACATGGGATGATGTATGCTGGTGCTAGCTGCTTGAAGACTTTTTAGAAATGATTTGGAACATTCTAAAAGCTGTTCTTCAAAATAGCATGGACTCCTTCACCAAAATGTTATGACACCTTAACACAACTGCTATGATATTTAAAGCATCCACCATGAGTGACTAATGTTAATATGGTGAAAGATCTGTGCACTACAGTCCAGTTATTTTACAGACTCTTCTCTATTCTTCTTCGGTCGCTGTGAGTGTTAAATATAAAAGCATGTTATCAGTTAGTGACTATAAAAAGCAGGTGAAATAATTATCAAATATGCATGTGAATTATTAGTGGTTATCACGCTAGGTGTCTACTCTAGTGAGGAGAAAATAGGAAAGTCTACCTGGAGTGGCTATATAGATGCAGAAGAAAGTTATAGGCAATGGAATAGAATGGTAGTGCATGTAAAGGGTAGAATTTATGTAGAAGCTACCAGCTTTTTTTCAACACACTCTGACACTCTCCAAGCAAATTGCGAAATTTTGTATAGAGTGAGTGGTTTAACTGGTAGCTTCTTCAGTTTTCTCGGGCTCTGAGGGTTCTTCTGTGGGTGGATCAGCTGGAGTACCGGTATCTGTTGGTTGTTCTGAAGGGGTGTCTGCGACATGTTCGGGGCTTTGAGGTGCAGACTGACCATCCTTTTTAGCCTCACCTTCTTCCCCTTCTCCCTCTTTTGCCTCCTCTTCTGTTTTTGTTTCTTCTGTTTTTGTTTCACCCTCAGCACCCTCTGTTTTCTCTCCTTCACCCTCCTCGGCTTCCCCCTCCGCTTTCGCCTCTTCTCCTTCTGCCTCACCCTCCTGTGAAAACAAATGTCGTGTCATCATTTAAACTTAAGATTTTTTTCACAAATTTGTAGCCATCATCATCCTAACTGAAAGAAAATCAATGAGAAACAGTAAAACACAACATACTGCACTTGCAAACACTAGAGTGCACTGAGAGTATTAAGTGGCATACTGGGTGTACATCATTTTGTTCAAAATTCTTGTATATCTAGGTGAATACATACAAGTAAAGAACTGAGATAGATAACTAATGCCACATTATGTATTACTTCATGTTTGGTGCAGAGTGGTAAGTTATTGTGAAATTTTGTAGCAGTGAGAATATAACATTTACATTACATGACATACCGGTAATATATTGTAAATGAAATGGTGCGAATGAAACTGAGTGTATTCCTTATTTGGAAATCACACCTCCTAATAAGGTAGGGTTAAATTGCAGCATTGAATGTATGAATAGAATTATATTCATACATAAATAAACATATCACTAAGTCAAACCAAATATTAAGATTAAACAGACACTGAAAATTTGTGGTAAATAAATAAAAATACATATTCATGTGCTATATTATAGCTTTTCCCTTTGAAGATAATATCAGGTTTATCAGTGTTTTGTGCAAATTGTAGGAGATATATTCATCACTGTTCCAAATTACTGCACCGCACATTCATGTATGATAACACAACTCAAGAGCTTTCATTAGCAAATCAAATGGGGAATCAAAATGATTTTTCAACATTTTGACTCACTCAAAATTGTTGGAACTGATGTTACGGACAAATACATCACTGTAACTGTACATCAAATAGAATACCTACTTTCTTAGTGCCATCATCTGGGGGTTCATCTCCTTCTGCCACAGGTGCTAAACTTGGGGCACCAGGTAAGTTTGATTTATCTTTTAACATTTCTTCATCCTCAGCCAATGCCCGTGCCTCTTTTTCCTATTACACAACAGTATTGATTTTTTTTTTTTAATTTAATTTGTTTAATAATCTCCACTAGAAATTGTGAGTTCCATACTGGTGACATTGGATTACCGGTATATCTTTTCGAACACTGCCATAACAATACAGTAAAAATATTTATTTGAAACTAAAATACGAATGAAATTCCTTTTTCCTTCTCTACTGAAAAGCATTGTGTTCAGTACAACTACAAACATAATTTAATAACTCACTCTTCTCTCCTCTTCTAGCTTTGCTATTTTTTCTGCTTCTTCCTTCATTTGCTCTTGCTTTATTTTTTCTTGCTCTGCCTCTTCTCGCTGAATGTCCAATTGCTTTGCCTCTTCATCTTTCTATGAGTGTGAAAAAAGGAATTAAAAAAAATTTCTATTTCAAGATTGATCTCAAGAACATGATGTTTTTGCAGACCAGTGAAATCTGCTTAAATGAAACACAAAAGGAGCAGAGAAATGTAAAGAGACAATTAATTCTAGTGTGAAGGGGCTGAAAGTGGTGTCTAGTTCAGTTGAGTATTTTTTGCAACTTTACAAATTATTTGGTTATACAACATAAACAATATACCATAGTCTTCATCGAGTTATACCACAAGCAAACACACAAATAATATTTTATTGAATGTGGCCTCTTGGATGTTTGTACGATGCTAACAGTGCCAAAGTACATACATGTACATAAATAACAAATTTGTATTGCATCCTTGAAATAAATTCTCATCAGTTAAAAGCAATAACAATGAAATAGATAAAAAAAAAAATGCACAAATAGAAAAAAAAAAAATCACAAAAACATTTTTGATTTTGAGACTATAAAAGACAGGGCTGTTGATAAAATTAGCCCCCAACCTGAAAATATCTACAAAAAAAAACTCACCAAACTACAATTGAGAAGCATAAAATTGCAAAAATGGGAACAATTTGTTCAATTGCAAGAAATGTTGTTTAGGAAAAGGTCAACCATTTGAAAGATACAGAAACTTGAAACAAGCACTTGTAGTCATTGTTTCACTCTCCTGATCTATAGATCTATCACATATAGT